CCAGCATTTATTGTCCTGTATTTTTTTTATCTTTGCTGTTATTGCTGGTGTGAGATGACATCTCATTGTTGTTGTGATGTGATATATTTAGCCAATATGTTGAAAATCAGTTGACTGTATGTAGATGGGTTAATTCCTGGATTCTTGATTCTGTTCCATTGATCAGTGTATCTTTCATTGTACCAGTACCAAGCTGTTTTGACCACTGTAGCCGTGTAGTAAAATTTGAAATCAGGGAATAAGAGGTTTCCAACCTTATTCTTCTTCTTAAGCAGTTCTCTGCTTATCCTGGGTCTCTTTCCTTTCCATATAAAGTTTGTAATTGTTTTTTCTACCTCTTTGAAGAATGTCATTGAAATCTGGATTGGGATTACATTATGTGTGTTAATTACTTTGGGCAGTATTGACATTTTCACAATGTTAAGTCTTCCTATCCAGGAGCATGGTACATTCTTCCATTTTTGTAGGTCTCTTTTGGTTTCTTGTAACAGTGTATTGTAGTTTTCTTTGTATAGGTCCTTTGTTTCTCTGGTTACATTTATTCCTAGATATTTCATCTGTTGGGTGGCTTTAATAAATGGCATTTCTTTCCTAATGTCCCTTTTCAGCACTGTCATTATTGGTATAGAGGAATCCAAGATTTTTGTATGTTGATCTTATACCCTGCCAATTTGCTGAATCTTCCAGTAAGCTCTAATAATAGCTTTTTTACTGAGTCTTTGGGGGTTTCTATGTAAAGGATCATATCGTCTGCAAATAGAGAGAGTTTTACATCCTCTTTGCCAATTCAGATGCCTTTGATTTCCCTGTCTTGCTGTACAGCTCTGGCTAAGACTTCCAGCACAATACTGAATAGGAGTGGTGACCAAGGGCATCCTTGTCTGGTTCCTGTTTGCAGATGGAAGGCTTTCAGTTTCTCTCCCTTGAGAGTAATGTGGGCTGTTGGTTTTGTATATATGCTATTGATTATGCTGAGGGATATCCCTTCAATTCCTACTTTGTTGAGGGCTTTTATCAGGAATGGATGTTGAATTTTGTCAAATGCCTTTTCTACATTAATTGATATCATCATGTGGGTAGTTTTCTTTTTTCTTGTTTATATAGTGGATTACATTGATTTTTTTTTTTTTTTTTAATGTTGAACCATCCTTGCATCCCTTATATGAATCCCACTTGGTCATGATATATTATTTTTTTGATGTGCTGCTGGATTCTGTTGACTAGGATTTTCTTGAGAATTTTTGCATCTATATTCATGAGGGATGTTGTTAGGTGCCATTGAGTTGGCACCAATTCATAGCGTCCTTATGCACAGCAGAA